TCCCTGATTCGTAGACACGATTAAGATGTTCATCGCAACAAGATACCTCATCACGAAATTCATATTCACGATGGTATATGTATTTCCTTTTTTCATCATGTTTTTCTCTAACATTTCCTAGTTCAATTCTAACAATTTTTGCTCTACCATCGGGAGCTTTATCCCCATTATCATTATCTTTCATCCCACATATCACCAGATCATCATTATCATCCATCACTAAATTATCGTTTTCAACACCAATCTCTCCCACATCTTCATTAAGTCCAACTACGGCATTTTCACTATTAGATCCCTTCAGCATGGTTTCAATGTCGATTATCTCAAAAGGTACCTTGAATATTGGATTACCACTTTCTATCATTTTTCCCCGGTCAAATACTAATTTATAATCGTCTTCCAATTTAGGTTCACCAAATGATTCTCTACCTTCAACATGCTTTGAATCTTCCTCAAGTATTTCATTTACATCCTTATTGGTAATATCAGCATTTTGGTGACAGATAAGTGCTTTATTTTCGTCCCTTATAATTTTATCTTCCTTATCATCAGAATGTCCCCTAATACTAACATTTTCCTCATCAGTAGATTTTTGACAATATTCCAATGCTTGAACTCCATCATTTCTGTTTTCTTCCTCATCAAGGCTTTCGGGTAAGTTCTCCACACTCATATCCGTTTTACCTTCTTCATCTCGATCAATATTCACTATATTAACCGTCTTTGCCTCTACACTTTCTACCTTCTTCATAGAATCATCACAACCCACGTTGTCCCAGAAGTATTCAAATAAATTTATCTCACGACTTAGTATATCAGGCTTCGGATCTTCATCAAATACTGTATTTTCATCCTCACCAACGTCCTCTTTCTCTGCACTATCATCTGCATACCACCATCCTAAGTCCATTTCGTAGGCCGTTAATACAATCAATTAGAAAGATTAATGGTAATCTGCCCAGGTTCTCGTGTCACAGGTTAATCTGTGACTTTCGTCACAAACAACCTAGTCCAAACGGCGAGCACTTAATCGCTTTGCTATGAT